GTGTGTGTGTGTGTGTGTGTGTGTGTTAGAGAGAGAGAGAGAGAGAGAGATTTCATACAGTTATACTATCATTCCTTTTAGTTCATTTTAATTTCTTTTTTCTCTTTTCTTTTTTGCTTTCGGTTCTGCTTTCTGGGTTGTTGTTAGGCAGAGGGGTAAGGGGTTCCAGTTTTGTCAAAAGAAAGAATCAAATTCTGTGCTTCTAATTTCCTCTGTTCTAACAATGTTTTCTGTACTTCATGCTATCCTACTGGCATCCCCCCATACCCTGAAGAACACAAAAAAAAAAAAAAAACCTGACATGATGTGTTCTGGTAATATTAAATTTCATATCTCAATCATCTTGCAGGCATTTGCTGAGTTTTCCTCTCCTCTTCTTTTCCAATGAATCATTTTGTGAATATGGTTTTTGTTTGTTTCTGTTCTCTACAAATGGCCATTTAATGTGAATTTATTTGTGCTTGTTTTTATGGATAGGCACAATTGTACTGAAAAAGAAAGGAAAAAGAGAATGACACCACAGTCCCGCGGTATGGTGCTCCGATCACTATGAAGTGGGAGTATATGTAGACAACATTTGTACATTTAGTGGGGCATATACAATGATCATGTCAGAGAAATCATGATGACAGAGGGAAAAATAAAAATGAAAAAAAAAGAGAGAAAGAAAGAAAAATTTTCTTGCTCCCCAAACAAGTGCAACTTTCTTTTTGACTAAAGTTTTATTAGTACATAATTAAATGTAAAGATACCTAAAGAGTCATTGTAATGATCCCAAGGGAAATTCTAGCGCCACTAGCGGCAGCCTTTAACAGATATAGCAATTGCCAACTGGTATGTACAGTGTTCTGTAGATGGGGGTTAAAAGAAACAAGTAAAAGAGAAGGAAAACTATCATATTTACATGCATAGAAATGCTCATCTGATGATACCAATTCTATGTTCTGTTATGTTATGTCAGTTTGGAATTTCAGGTGGTAGAAACATGCATTTCAGTGAAAAATACAGACCCTCTCTCTCTCTCTCTCTCTCTCTCTCTCTCTCTCTCTCTCTCTCTCTGAGACTTGGATTAATGGTTTTTAAGTTGGTTGTTGGCTGATTTGATGAGCCACTAAATGCATGGTGGTACCCTGACCTGGTTTTAGGCAATGTCTGATGTACTGGCCACAGGGAGACTAAGACTGCAATATTGTCAAATTTATAACATATCACATTGCATCAACTAAAATTTGCAGGCATGAATTGGACTTAAAAAAGGGTCAAATTATCTTCAGACTGTTCATATTAAATCAATTTTTCATTTTTTTTCAATTAGCAAAATTTGTGAGTTTTGATGATCACATTGCACAGTTAGTTAACCCTTTCTTACCTTCATTTTTCTCATTGAAAAAGAAATGAAATAACTGAAAAGAAAAGAGACCAACAGGAAGCATCCTCAACCGATTTACTGTAGCACTGCTGTCACATCCAAAAATTAGAGCCCCCTGGGCCTTTTTCATCCAGAACATTAGCAACTAATTTCTCCAAAAACCACTCCACATCCAAACCAAATTCATCCAAAGCAGTGGTGGAAAACTATCATAATCTACATTTACTCAAAGGTAATGGTGATAATGCAGTGGGACCACAGGCTCCTTTCAACATTGATCACATTGGTCTGGTTGATTAAAACTGATGTCAAAATCATTGGTTGCTGATGTCTATTTTAAGCAGGACAAGCAGCAGAAATGCCAGACAATGTGTGATCCTCAAGTTTGATCACCAAATACTCTGAGCCATTGCTCTAACTAGTCATGTTAATGGTGGAGGATTGGAGGGAAGGTGGTATGCCTATGCCCCTTAGTGGTGTGAAGGTTCCCTATTCTAAATTGCCTGCGGCATTAGGTAATTTCTGTAGCCATCCTAGTAAAGTTAAAATAAAGACACTTCTGTCATGAATCCAAGAGAAACAGAGGAGAAGAATCATTCCTATGCAGTAATCTAAAAAGTTAAAGGGATCTTTTATTAGATTTTTGTAATCTTTGAAACACCCTTTGGATTAGGGGCAGGGATTAGGCTGTGGGCGTGGGTGCGGGAGCACAAAGATATGGGCCCCTTGTCCTGGTTAGCTTTTAGGGTCCTGGGTTAGGGTGCTTGCCACTTCCAAAAACTCCCCTTTAGTCAGTATACACATTCTTTATTTTTCTCTCTTCTTTTCACAAATGCCCACTTATAGTCTCACCCACCTCTGCAACAAAATTAAAGCAAAGCTAGCTGTTGAGGAATATTGGGCCACTGAAAGTCACTCTCAAATTTAAAACAACTGGGGCATTGAATGGGGGATTATTAAGGTATTTCCAGTGCCCTTTTGTAAAGTTAGCTTGAGAGAATAGATTCCAAACCCACCCCCCTAGAAAGTATATGCACTTGGGTATTTGAAAATTTTTTGAATGCCACTTTGTGTTTGTGCTGTGATATATATATATATATATATATATATATATATATACACTAATGCTTTTTTTTCTTTTATGCATAAAAGGGAATGTGATTTAATGACTAGTTATTATTTAAAAACTACACTCTCTGACAAAAGGCTGTCATGGCCATGCTTTCCTGAAGGGATTCAACATATGTAAACATGAAAATACAGATTTATAATGGAAGCAATGTGGTAGCAAAGAAGGTAGTGGAGATGATGCTCATAGATTTTAAAGAAGGTGGTCATTTTTTATTTTTTATTTTTTATTTTAACTGAGACTGTTGCTGTAATAATAGTTCTGGGTGAACCTAATGGCTGGACCACTATTGATTTCACACTGTGTATCTCACCTGCACTTTGTGTCTTTATATTATTGGAGTTACAGCCATGTCTGAATTCTGGTGGAAGAAATCCTACTAAATAGAATGAGGATAATAATAATGAAGACATAATTATCTTGCAGATTATTTCTTATTATAATTATATTTTCAATATACCTATAACTTAACAGATTTTGAATTTAATTACTAATACTCTATTTTTTTTTAAAAAAAAAGGCATTAATACTCTATTTCACATGTGGAGAACATGTATTTGTTGAGAAGAGAAGTGGCAAGATACTTAATCTTTTAGAAAAGAACACAACATAAATGTATAAATTGAAATGTACATCAAATGGTGGAGTCATTAGCACTTCAAGTTACAGCAATATGAAGCCAATGAAATTTTCAGAGTCAATTTTTCACATGGTGGATATCATAAATGGGTGAAAAAAGATGAATTATGAGTACTAGAAAAATGGGTTTTTAAAATAAAAAAGGAGCAAATAATGGAAAGGGAACAAAAACAATTTATGGACTCAAGAAGACTTTTATCATCAAATGACAATCCAATAAAATCCAAGCGCGCCAAGCTTGTTGGATGGTGATGCTTGCTTGCCAAGCACAATGGGATTGTCCTACCAGATATTGTTTTGCCTGCAGGAGAAAAAGAAAAATGCAAATGAAGATAAACCACAATAGAGGTTAGTGCCTACTTTGAAGGTTGAAGATGGTGATAGATCATCTGATAGAGGTGTGGAGACCATGTGGTGGAAAACTATTTGATATATAAATAACCCATTCTTTTCACTATCTTTATGGGAGAAAAAGCTGTAAAAACATTGTAAACTTTCTAAAAGAATGGGTAGGAAATGAAATCCTTTTAAGCTAACTGTTAGACTGTCACATGGGTGTCAACATTTGCCCCAAACATTGTGAGCAGGGATGTTGTTTTCTTGGAGGCTAGAAAGTAAAGATTACCCCCAAAATGGATTAAAGAAATCCCAAGTTGAGATGTCCAGGCGTAGCTCTTTTGTAATGGGGGCATGGACAAACCTTCTCAAGTACTCCAAGCACTCAAGCAGCACCTTTTGTCGACAAATTTGACCATTTAAGGAATCAGCAATGATGCTTATGAGAAAATTTGGAACTTTTTTGACTAATTTGGATTTTCTTGAGCCCAAAATCAAGTCGTTGTCATGACTAATTGTAGGCTTTTAGGAAGCTCTATCCCATTACCAAAAGGCTTCAGGACTGAACAACTTATCCCCCATCAGAATCAGCCAAGGGAGCTCTAGTTTTAAACTTACATTCTAGTAGTCAGGATGTATTCAGTATATCCAATTTCAAGACCAATTAGCCATGAAATTCAGTTAATCTGGCGTTTTTGTGCTGTTATGGTCTCTAGAAAACCATGATTAACATGCTAAGATTCATTTAATTATGCCTTTACTTTACGATTAACTAGCTAAAAGCAATGAGTGATCCCGTTGGACAAACTTTAGCCTTACATTAACCAGTTGCTGTTGACTTTTCTCTAATCTTGCTTCTTATCTGCTTTACATGGCTTTTTAGAGTGGACCAACCGACAGTTTTACAAGATTTACATCACTTGCGCAATTTGCTCTTTGATCAGACAGAATTTCACTTTGAAATTTGAGAACTTTGAACACTCAAACTTTCAAGGAAAGTTGCATAACATATGATTCTTTTGACCATATATTCAAATGCTAATCACACCAGATGCTACAGTTAAAGCTTGGTACAGATGCTAGAAAATGCTTCGAACATTGCCTTCACCTACATATCAGAAGGTAAGAAAGTTACATTTGGTAGAATGATTATGAATCGTCCATTGCAACCCTTCTGCATGAAGACTGGGATATGTGCTATGAGCATTCCTGAACTTGAGAATGTTGCAAGGATGGAATCTTATCCTCCATTCACTGTGGTCTCTGTCAATCAGGTTACCTTTTTACATAAATGGGAAATAGTCACAAGCATCTTCTTTTTGTCCAAATTAACGGTGGATTCTATCATAAGCAAAGCATCCTCTTTGAGTTCTGTAGAAATGGAAAAAAGAAGAGGCATCTTCACATAAAGTTTATTAAAGAACGGTACAACAAAGATGATTATGACATAGATTGCTAGTTAGTGGCAACAATTCTCTTTATAGATTGAGAAATTTCCCAAGTGAATATATAGAACTTAGCCGTCTAGTTCCTTCTAAGATATCCAGCTTGCATGATAGGCGGTTCTATAAATTACAATTTGATCAGTCTACAGCATTCTTGAAAGCAAACAGCAAGTATACAAGTTCTTTCTTGCTTTTTCCTCTTTGGTTTTCAATAATCTTCTGGAGCTACTGAAGATAGAGAAATGTCATTGACAATAAGGGGAAGTGTGAGAGCAAGAGGGACGAACCCCTCTTGCAATGGGATTTTTTGTCGGATGGTATGCCTTCCCAGAAACATAATGGGGGGCTTTTCAAGAATAATGGGTAGAAGAAGCCAATACCAACCACCAAACTTGCAGCTGCAACATTCACTGCCACAGCAGCCCCTAGTTGTTCCAGAAGAGTGGGCTTTTCTAGCTAGTTTTGAACAGCAATATGGTATCACACATCCATTTTTCTATGCCTGTAGCTTTATGGAGGCTCTGAAGATGGCAGAGGCTGAGCACAAGCTCATGTTCATGTATCTCCACTCACCGGAACATCCCTTCACTCCCTCATTTTGTTCCGGGACTTTGTGTTCAGAGCTGGTAGTACAGTTTCTTGATGCAAACTTTGTGTGCTGGGGAGCAATTGCAGATAGAGGAGAGGGTTTACAAATGGCTGCTACTCTGCAGCCTGCTAGCTTCCCCTTCTGTGCAATGATTGCACCAGCTGCTGGTAACAGCATAGCAGTGCTGCAACAGGTTGGTTAACATTGCAGGTTAAATTCTAGGTTCGTTTCTTAATTTGATTTTGGAACTCTTGCATGCTTATCATTTAGTTTCAACCATCAAGTGTCTAAAAGAAGTTGTCACACCAGTACTTCTCTTTGGGGTTGAACAACAGGCATGCATCTATCAGTAGGCCATGATTTCTCATTCATTTTCTTAACTTAATGATGAGACCAAAAATATTTTAATGTGGTAGTGGCACTTAACTTGAACATGTATTTGTTCCCCCTGTGCTCTCAATATTGACAACAATGACAATAATCTTGTTATGAACTTTTCTTCTATCTACCTTGTTTATGCTTAGATGGAGGGCCCAGTTGATCCAGCTGAGCTGGTGGAGATTCTGCAGAGGACAATGGAGGAGCAAGGGTCGGCTTTCAGCAGTACAAGAGGAAGGGAGGAAGAACAGATGAGAGCAAGGATTAAGGAGGAGGAAAGGACAAGAGCAAGAGCTAAGGAGGAAGAGAAGTTAAGGGCTGATCATCAGTTGAGAGAAGAACAAGACGCTGCATATTTTGCTGCTTTACATATAGACCAGGTGTGTGCCTGTTTGTTTGATTTGTAATTCCTATGGTTTTGGTCGAGGAAAATCCTAAGGCAGCATTAACAAGACCAATGGTTTTTTTTTTTTTTGGAACTTTCTAGGAAAAGGAAAGGCTTAGGAATGCAAGAGCTCAAAAGCCAGTAGAAGCTTCAAATCAAGCAAACTATGAGAAGCCTAGGCAGATGCCTACAGAGAAACTACTCGGTAAAACAAGGCAGGTCTCATCTGTTAGAGAAGCTCAGTACAAAGAAACTGCTACTCAAGGCAAGGATACTCCTCAGGCTACTCAGGTGCTTGTTAAAAAATCATTATGTCTTAATTAGGCTAACCTGTTTCAGTTTCAGAACATGGTTCTTACAGTTCAAATACCTGATGAATTTTTCAGATATTGATTCGGTTTCGGAGTGGTGAAAGAAGGGAGCATAGCTTTTCTTGCACAGATAAGATCCTCTCAATTTACAGATACATTGATTCATTAGGACTACCTGGGCTTGAAAACTACAGATTAATATCAAGTTTCCCGAGAAGAGTTTATGGTGTTGATCAAATGGGAATGACTTTGAAAGATGCTGGTCTGCATCCTAGAGCAAGCCTGTTCTTGGAGCTTCTTTGACAACAAAACTAATGATGGTGCAGGAAAGCTCCATGCACTATGACATGCACAGCACTCCCGCAAGCTTACAAATATGTCAAAAACTATTATTAGATGTCGTCTATCCCATATCTATCACATCATCCATATATACGTCTTACATCATTGTTTCTTCGCCATGATCTAATCTCGTCAGTAGCTTATATCAATGCTTAGACCTTGTTGAGGGGAGAAACAAAGAAAAATAGAGAGCAGAACTTTACCTACATAAGCTACCATGAAATATACTGATACTCATCAAAAAGGATCAGCAAAACAAAGGCGCAAACAACGTCCACTTTGACATCAGAACTAACTAGCATAATCAAGCAGACACTGTGCGGCCAAAGTTCAGTGATTTTCCTCATATTTTTGCTGCTAGAGTTTCAGGAGAAGAAGATATATCCTTATTCCAAAATGAGGTCTCTATTGATCAAATGTCTATTACCACCATATCTGTGAAGGTCTTCACATCCAAGAAGGCACAAGCCTTTGATATATCCATCAAGTTTACAGCACTATCTATAAATACACATCATTTAACTTAATTGATAGGCTATAATCTAATCACAGTATCTGCAAAGTTAAAACATGACTTCATGTAACGATTATGGATCTAAATACTAATCTCTCAACAATTTTTCAAACCTGAATCACATGACACTAAAAAACATAAGTTTAAGTTACTAGCAGTGATTAACTTAGACCTTTATATAAAGATCTTTAACACTTTATACTGCGAAAAACTTGTTTGAATGCCAAGCAACAGTTTACACTAACAGAAGCTTTGGGATAAATCCTTTTTGCTTCTCTCCTCTGTTTGCTTGGTCATTGACCAGACAACAAGAAGTTTGTAGCAGCACCGTTTTCTTGAGGTACAGAATTAGATTTCTTCTCCAATTTTCTCACCACATTGCTTGAAAGCAACGGTTGCATATGTCCCTCTTTTCTCAGAAAAATGATTCCCAAAGGAAATGATTACAAAAGGGGTTGAAATGCTGCTTTAATCCAATAAGAAAAAGTGAAAATTGTCTTAAAGAAGAAAGGATCCAAAGTGAGGTAAGATAATGTAAGTAAACATATCTCCTTGCACACCCCAAATTTTCCATACAGGAATGTATGACTCTAGAAACAATAAAGAGTTTCTTTTTGTTCTTTTGAAAATTCTAAATCACAATCATCACATTTGACTCATTTTGTTTTAAGAGCTGCATCAATTCTTCTTCACCAATTCTACCTTTATCCTGAAAAAAATTGTACTTGATTAAACTATTCTAACCTCAAAAGATACATCTATTCTATTATGATAAATAATTGATTTATAGTAATATTTTTTTTACACATATTTTCAATCGTACAAATCAATTATCTAAATATTCTCTCGATTTTTTTAAAATTAAATTCTACATAATGTATATTTCATCCTCGAAATCAATATTAAACCCGAATTCATTCTTTCAAATTTATCGTTTTCAAACATAATTATCTGAAATATTAATTTGGAGGTAAATACTAGAACTTGATGAGTTCCTAAAAATACTGTGACTAAATTCCTACACTGCTATGTCTTATATGAATAAAAATGGTGGTCCTGACCTCAATTGTCACCAATCCCTTACCAGGAAGGAAAGTGGAAGGAAGGTAAGTGGCTGATATTTGTGGGCCAAAAATGAGGATAGTGGAGAGGTACAAGGACAGGCTAGCAGTGGGGAAAGAGACATTACCATCAGCTGAAAGATGTCACCTGCACTTTTCCATGGTTTTCTTTCCTTGGCCGAAAACTTAAGTTCCATTGGAAAAAACAATGGATTGGATCAATCTGGTTGGAAAAGAATGCTTTGTCTATCTCCAATTGGTGTTTGGGTGGTCAGGAAATGTTTGTCGCCAATGCCCCCAGTGGGACACCATGCCCAACCTCTTTCACCATTGTTTCATGCATCCAAATTGACAAACTCCGACAATTTTTCTTTCGTTTTCATTTGCCTCTGTAAACTCTAGCCATTGGATTGAAAGGAATTCGGCGATTAAAACCTTATTTGTGACTTATATAAGATTACATTATTATTAATCAAAATATTATTTATTATTTTATATTTATATATTTATATAAAAAATAATATTATATAACTATCTTGTTGCGTCATATATATTAACGTATGACAGAAAACTTACTCATTAGTTAGGAATGGAAACAGAATTACCGTCTATAACCAAAGGGTCGAAAAAATTGAGAACATCAAAAGGCCCATAAGCCCAAAAGACTGATTTTCTGCAATGAGCCCAAAGCTAATACCTTGGGCCACATCGGGCCCACCCAGTAACAGCTGCCAACCAACTTCCAACCAAAACGGCGGAGTTTTCAGTTCCTGTAACAGAACTCGTTTTTTCAGTTTTAATCGCACTTTTCCACCACCGATTTTCCCGGGAAACGGACAGCCGAACGTCGGAACGGGCGTTGCTGCACGGTAAACTTTGAGCTGAGAAGGTGAATTCGGAGGAATGGCGATCCACACATGTGAAGCTCTTCGTGCGTGTCGTCCTCCCTTGTTTACCTCAATTAAGTTGGCTCCTAATTGCATTCGAAACTACAAATTCCGTGTTCAAAGTTGTCTGAAAAACCCAAATTGCTCACGAAAGGTACTAGCTTTCTTTTTCTTTTTATTCAGTTAATTACCATTTTTCTTCTTAATATGTCCCATTGCAACTGGGTTTTGTTTGGTTTCTGTGAAATCTCAGGAAAAGGAAAGAAAATGTTGGAATTGTATAAAGTTGCCATTTTGAGTCAAACCGGTAAAATAAAGTTCCCCTTTTTAGTGAATGTTTTTTTTTTCTCTTCTGAGTTCATCTATGTGTTTGGGGTGGTTTAGTTTAGGCTTTTAGTGAGGAATTTCAATCCATTTGATGACTTTTACTAGATTTTGCGAGAAGTTGTTTTGTTCAATTGTTTACTGACTTGACGTCAATTTGTATTCCTTTGAAAGTGAAACATGGTTTCATTTATGCTAAGATAAAGCAGGAATGAGAAAGGAAATACTTTCAAAGTGATAAGCCAATCAAATAAGTATCAGATTATCTTGTTTAAAGTTATTGGCATGAACCTTGCAGTTAGTTTTGGAAGTGAAGGAGAAGCTTGAAAAGGAGAATTATAGTCTGCCAGTTGGAAAAAATGGAAGAGACGATGAAGACATGATTCTCTGGTATCTAAAGGACCGGAGATTTTGTGTTGAAGAAGCTGTCGCTAAGTTGACAAAAGCTATTGTATCCTTGAACAATGCATTCATACTCTTGTGGCTCTAGAACTTTAATTGTGCACATTTTAAGGCATGCCTTAATAGCAATCTTCAATTTAGTTTAAGAAAATATAAAGTTCACAGAAGCTGATGGGGACCAAGACTTCTTATGGTTCATAACTCTGAGCAAACTGTTAAACGATGCTTTTCAGTTGCAAGTTTTGTTGAAATCGAGTGGAGATATTTGGAGAAACAATGGCCTCTGTGCTTTACATCTGAAATTTTATTCTATACCTGAAACCCTTATCCAGTTGTCCTTAAAAACTCTTTTCTAGAGATGGCGTCAAGAGTTTGGAGTGTCTGATTTATCTGAAGATGCAGTGAAAAGTATGGCTGAGACTGGAAAAGCCTATGTGCATGACTTTCTTGACGTTAATGACAGACCAGTGCTCATCGTGGTGGCATCCAAGCACCTTCCTGCAGTAAGTTTCAAAAGTCACTGACCATGTGCAATGTATCTGTACGCCGATTTTTTGGCCCTGAAGGATACTCTTGTCTGGTTAGATACCTTTTAATACACATGCTACAAAAGGTTTTGTGGGTGTATTTCTGGAGAAAAAAGAAAGGAAAATGTTTTCTTACATAAATGTGGATAATTACCAAATATAGGAACTAGGATGCTTTGACCCTGATTATGGTGATTCTTGACATCTGTGCTCTATTTCCCTTGCATTGCTGGATATGGGACCATTGTTCAATTTATGGATCCCCTAATTAGACCATCAAATTGAAGACTAAAAGAGAAGTGAGACGCGTATCTATGCTTCATGAACCAGTTTCTACTTTCTAATTTTTTTTGCAGCTTCTTGGGTCCAGACACAGCTCCTATCCTCCAGTAAAAATTGCCCTGCACTCCTCTAGATGTATGACAGAAAATTTTGTTGTTTTAAGGTTCATGTTCTGTATAGAATAAGTCAAAACAGAGTTTATTATACTTTAAATATGCTTCTGAGATGATTAAGCTTCCAACAGAAGTCATTAATTTTCGTGGCCACAGGTGCACGATCAGCATGAGGATCACAAACTCTGTGTATTTTTGATTGAGAAGGCATTGAGCAAGCTTCCAGCTGGGAAAGAACAAATACTAGGAATCTTTGATCTCCGGGGCTTTGGAACCAAAAATACAGATCTCAGTTCTTTAACTTTCTTGGTAACATCAGCGTTAAACTTTTAAAGATATACCTTTGGCTGGTTAAAGATAAAGAAAATGAAATGTTATCAATGTTAACATCTGAGTTTCTTCCTATGATTCAATAGATATCTTACAATTGGTGTATACATGTGTAGGTATGTCTATGGTTTGGATTTTCCAGGCGTAGTCTTTCCCCCCTTAATAGCATATAATCATAAGAGTAGCTCTAACCCTTTTTATTAGTCCCCCTAGCAATTCATACTCTCGTTGGTTCTTCTGTTTCTCAAATATATAAACTAAAAGCCTCTTTTGAGGCTTATTCATTGGTATTGAGTTATTTTATGCTAAGTTTTGATATGTGTGTGTGTGTAGAGAGAGAGAGAGAGAGAGAGATCATGTTAACCTTTTTCTTCTATTGGATACTAAGGTTCAGTTGTCACATTAACTGACATTACATACACTCAATTCATAAGTCTAGTTGCTAGATGATGTTATTAAAGGTAAAAAAGGTTGATTTATATTCTTCTTTCTTTGGCAGTTTAATGTATTTTACTATTATTATCCAAAGCGGTTGGGTGAAGTTCTCTTTGTCGATGCTCCTTTTGTCTTTAAGCCTATTTGGCAGCTAGTAAAGCCCTTGTTAAAATCATACGCTTCTCTGGTATGTACCCTACCTATGAACTTCTTTCTGGCAAGCATATAATTGTTTGTAAATTTAAGTTTAAAGTTAAAATTCTTTAGTTGCAGAAAGCAGGTTCATGTGACACGCATTTCACATCGTCTCATGTGTTTTGAAGGTGAAATTTTGCTCCATGGAAACTGTCCGGAAGGAATATTTTACAGAAGCAACCATACCGGTCAACTTTAGAGACTAATGCAATTACCATATGCATCCTTAAGACAAGGGTATGTTTATAAACTTTGGCAATGCATTAATATGTAATATAGGAATTAACTTTTCGCAATCTTAATATTTCTGTCAATTAAGATTTACCTCATTTTGCCCTATTTAATTTATTGCCGTTAGCTGGATTTCGTTTGTCTTAAGATTAGAAAATTGACTGACCAGTAGTAGCTCCCGGCCTCCACAGCAGTTGACAAAAGCATGAAAAGAGTTTAGTATTATTAAGCTTTTAATGAAAATTCTAGAACTATTCCTTTCTTACTCATGCCAACAATTGCAGGACTTTCAAGTGCTTGACTCGGCGTAGAGTTCTGCATTTGCAGTTGTGATATGCCAGAACTTGCAAAGATCAAAAAGGGGTTTGAAAATGGTCCAAGTCTGCTCTCTAGGAAGGACATTGATGAGTTATCCAACTTAAAGAAGAACAGACTGCTCCACAAGTTACAGAAACTGAAACCAATAGGGGTACCATTTCTTTTCCCTGTAGTTACAAATCTGTATGCTGTACCTACAGGCAATTTGCATTATACCATATAAATGGAAGCCCATTCTACAGAGTTGGAAGAGAATGTCTTCAGTATCAAGTTCTTAACCATGGATCGGACACTTTTCTTTCGAATTCATTTCAATTTGTCGAATTGCTTGACCTTAACTGCAGGGGCGAAGCCAAAGGGTGGCTGGTGGCAGTGCCGGCACTCCTCAGTTTTTATTTTTTTTTATTATTATATGTATAAAACTTAATATATGTAGTATGATTATTTTTATAATTATATTTTAATTACTTTTTATTAAAAATCCTAAATTCACCATTGCTTAACTATAAACAAAAAACTAATTAGCATAACATGATTCAAAGTTCCAACCGTATGTTTATTCGTTTGTGGCATTGACTGGAGCGATTTAGAGTTCAACTATTACTATTATAATTTATAAGGCTAAGCACAAGAGACACTCGAGAGGTATGCGTAAGAAAATGAGATATATAAAAAATAATTATTAATTATTTTAAATAAAGTTTTTAAATTTTAATTTTTTAATGAGTAAAATTAAATTTTTATTAATATATAAAATAATTTTAAATTTATTTTTATTTTGCACTCCAATTCATATATTTTTTAAATATTAATAATCAGACTCTAATATTAAATTTTAATTTTTAATTAAATTTAAATAAAAATATTAATAAATTAAATTTTGGTCGGATTCGGACTTCTTAATAACATTTGATCCCAAATTTAACTCATTGCGCTGGCTAGAATGTCAAATCAGCAATCAGCGACACAACCGTCAAAGCCCGATCCCAATTCCTTTCTTCAAATACAGGGCGGGCCAAGCAAAACGGTAAATCGGCGAAAACCGAAATGGCGAGAGCACCGAGGTTGCCTATCGCGGTGGTAACCCTGCTGTGGTTGGTGGTACTCTGCCGTTCAACTGAATCTCCGCCGTACGAGGTGTTACACGTGGAATCCGACTTCGAAATCAGACACTACCGAGACGCCACGTGGATGTCGGCAACTGTCAGGGACCTTTCCTTCCAAAAAGCCACCTTGTTTGGCTTCCACAGGTAAAAGTAACAGCAACATCTCCCCGATTCGACTTAACCAGAATTATTACTTAGTGTTTCTTTTTGATTATTGGTACAGATTGTTCCAGTTTATAGAAGGTGCGAATCTAAATTGGTCTCGGATAGCCATGACATCACCCGTGGTGACAAGCCTAGTCCCCGGAGCTGGGCCGCTTCACTCCTCAGCCTACGCGGTCCGATTTTACTTGCCTGCTAAGTTCCAGGACTGCCCACCGACGCCACTCCCGGAACTGAACCTGGAACCTTACGCCTGGAAAAGCCATTACGTCGCTGTCAGGGAGTTTTCAGGGTTTGCGACGGATGATAGCGTGCTCAGGGAGGCTGCCAAGCTTGCTACGAGTTTGAGCTTGTCGCCATGGGCTAACTGTACTACTGATTCGGACTACATTTATTCGATTGCCCAGTATGATCCACCGTTCAGGTTTATTGGTAGGGTTAACGAATTGTGGGTGGATGTTGATGCTTCTGTGTTTGTTGGCCCTGGAAAAGCTACGGCTTGAAAGTTATTGGAGAATCACAAGGTTTGGGTCTTGGGACTTGGGGGATGTTCTGGTTGTATACTATATGGAAGTAAAATAAGGCTTAATCATGTTGTGTACTAGTTTTTCTTATGTCTAAAGGTTCTATGTAAATATATGTTTTAGTAGTAAATTTTACAATAATCATTCTCATCCTTATGATCAGCTCTGACTAACTAGACTTGACAATTCGTGTTCAAGAATGATAAACATGTGATTAATTAAATGTGTTAAGATCTTAAGCACACGTATGGATATATTTATTAAAATGTTACACAATATGACGCGTCTAGTATACCCTATTCTTCTACCTAGTTGGAAGTGAAGTTTAGGAGAAGTATAAGACATAGGGTATTAGTTAAACATAATAATAAGCTTCCCAAGAAAAAGTTCAATACAAGATTACAACTCAAGATGGTAAAAATAGCTAAAGCAAGAAGAGGAGGGAAAAGGAACCTGAACCTCAAAATTATAGCAATATAAACAAATTTGATTTATCATGTCAGAATCTTTTCGAACTTATAGAGCAGTTTGTTCAAAGAATTTTCTAACCTAACTAATGAATGAATGAATGAATTTTGGTTGTACAACCAAACTAACTAGACCAATTACTTAACTTCTGTGCCAAAGATCAAGTTTGTCGACGTCTTGGATGAACAAAAGATGGCAAAGATACACCAACATCTGCAACCTTCCTGCCCAGCATTGGCAGCTTGATTTGGCTGCAATAAACAACAAACAGAAGGAAGAGAAGTAGAACAAAAAGGGAAACAGGGGATGAGAAGATCTTCATGTCTTTTATAGTTGAAATGCTGGCAGGAGTTTCAATACTATCTAGCCCATGGATTAGTGCAGCTCCTAATGTCCAAGAAACATCCCCTGGGCCAAACACTATCTCTGCATTGCCGAGGCACAGAGAATCTTCAATAATTGATGCCACATAAGGCAGCCGGAAACAAGATTGTCCGGCATAAGTTTGTCTTTGGGAAATGCTGCTCAACTCAGTCAAAGATCTTGAACATAACTGCTCACCTTTCTCCCAAATCTCAGTCACACTGGCCCTTGGGCTCAAGTTTAACATGTCGTAAACAACAAAAAACCCAGATAAAGCATGAAAGCGTCCACTGTGATGGGCAACAGCCATCAAATTTAGCATATTGCTTCCTGCAGAATATGTAGAGATTGTTATAGGTGTATGAAGTCCAATCCAAGAATAGGGTAAGATATCTCACAGAAAGAGCAAAGTTTATCAAAATCTATTATGTGGAAAAAAGTGAAACTGAACCAAGGAAAATATCTAATAAGCATATTTAAGTAAATAGACAGGAATTGCCTGGTTAAAGCATGAAAGCCTCAAAAGGCATATCTTTTTCATTAGATTTCCTAACAGCTTCTGATAATATGTTAAAGAGCTTTCAAAAAATAAACAGTGAGATAAAGCCATAGCATATTCACATGAGCATAATCCAAAGCATAAATAGAATGGTGAGTCAACAATCTATATGCCAGTGAGTTTACCTAAAATGCAGTGGCAATTACTATCTCATTAGCAGCACTGAACTGTGAACATGATATTATCATTACATAGTACTAACTGTTTTTGATGTACGGCAAGAACATATATTATATCTGCTGCTGTCCAATTCTCATGATTCAGAAGCGGGGGAGTGCATATGTCTATCTACCTACCTACAAGAAATCAGTGCCCTTCTCTATGTCACACAGAGAAACAGTTTAATTAAATGGCCATTATTAGATAATGGCCATTGCAAGAAATGATTCAAGTATGCTATGCCAGAAACTCAATGAGCATTACCTGATGAATAACCACCAAGTATTTCCAACTAACAAGTTCACTTCATAAGATGACCATGGATTCCGAGTTTAATTCACATGTTATATGAAATTAACACATCATCCTTCAAAGAAAAAAAAACCCCTTAATCAATAGACCTGCTTTATACTGAAAAGTATAACCATTAAGTTGGACCAATGGCAACAAATATTTAGCCAAAGTGCCTAACCCTTAATATTTTATCAGTTATCACTGAATTAAAAGCCTTTTTTATATGTATGCAGTGGAAATAAAAGATAAATGTCGGTAATGAATATGTTTCAATGTTGCACACAGGAAAAAAGCAGGATTGTTTCTAACTTACCACCATAAGGAGATGAATTTGCTTTACAGTTTCTACCAACCATTTGCTGTGACTGATCTGAACCGCTGTAGTTCATTGCAGCCGCCCTCACAAGTTCCTTGCATTGCTCCCAATTTGGGTCTCCAATTAAATATGTCAAAGAAAATTGAGATTTATGCGTCGGACTTTCAGAATGTTCAAGATCAGTTACATTTGGCATAGGGCAACCAAAGCAAGTATAATTTTGCACAAAATCAGAACTTAGACAAGGGTGTCTGAGTTCAAATCTGTTAGTGGTATTTCCCCTGTCTGTTTGATTTTGACTGAGCATGACCACTGTCCGATCAAATGCCTCATTCAAACCAAATGCAGGTAATGAGTATGCTAAAATTTTATGATCTGTTGAACCAATATTTGATGTCATGACATTTTCATTGTCGTTCTCTACAGCTACCTCAACCACAACCTGCAATGATGAACCTCCTAGATCAAGAAGTCCAAAGGTAGATGCTTTCAATGAATTTCCAAGGCTACCCAGTTTATAGTTCAGAGCAACCCAACCATAGTACGCCTCTTCTTTCCCAGTCAAAACCCTTATCCAGTTCTTATTATACACAAATGAATGTCCCCTTACAACAATTTCCACATCATCCAAAACCTGCCTAGCATCCTCGGCAGCCAACCTCCTCAGCCCAGCAGTAGCTAAAACAATTATAGGAGTATCTCCATGCCTTTCATGAGGTACCATCTGTTCTGCCCATGCAATCAATGGTTTTAAAGATGCCCTCACTCCTGAAGCATTACCAACAAATTTATCTAAACCAGGCTCAGTCTGCATACAATGGTAGTGGCAAGAATTTCTCCAAAGTGGACTCTTGGTCGAATAATCTGGATAAGAATGCACCAAATAAGGCAGGCCCTGATTAACCAAACCTCCTTTTTCCCACTCAAATACATTCACTCGTGTTCCAGTGCTTCCACAATCCACCACAACAGTGTAATATGAACTCTCTAATACATTCCGAGCCTTAACAAAATTAAATGCTAAGTAAACACCAATACAGGATAACAGAATGAGAAAGCCGAAAGTGAAAACTTTCAAGACCCGTTTCCATCGTTTGAATCCCATAACTGAGAGCTTAACCTTTGAAGGCGACTTGGGTTCCATTTGTGAACTATCACCATAAAAAATTTCCAAATTCTAACTCTACCGCCCCTTTGAAATACACTAATCATAATTCAAACACATACAAGCTTAAAAAATCTGCAGAATAAATGGAACTCAACAGCAACTGGTCAATTACCCAGATCATAATCATAGTGCAATGCCAAATCCCACAACTTTCAATTCCCTTTTCTGTCTCAAAACATGGGACAAATCTCAATTTTTGAACAGATTTGGAGGAATTTCACTGAAGAAAATAGCAACCAGAAGTTCCATACTTAATTGGAGAGTATCAGAGCTATGGAACCTTAAACAAAGAATCACGGATCAGGAGAAGAAAATCTGAAAGACCAAAATAAATGTACCTTAATCATTGTCGGATTTTCTAA